ATTTGTAAATTTCAATTTGAATCAGTGGCTGATTCTTGTTGAGTCCACAGCGCTCGTATCTAATAGATTCTCCTTTACCACTAATATTCTTTAAATGTATGACTCGTATGTTTAAAAGTGTAGAACGTATACGAGGGATGTCTCGTGTTTCGAAAAAGATGGTCGCAACATTTGTGTCAAAAGCGGGTCATATTGCAACAATTCTTCTTAACCCTTTGCATAATCAATTTATTTGGCTCTTGATAATTCCTGACGTTGCCGCTACTTGTTGCCTGCTGGAAAAATATCAACAAAATGAAGTGATATCCAATAAAACAGCTTAGCTGGTGGGAACAGTAGGTATAGTCACAAGAAACTGGGACTTTGTATTAACTGCAACAAATGCTGTTTTGCGGAATTCTATCAAGTGACGGGATGTTTTTGCTGCTCAATCCTGCGGTGTAAATATAGTTTAAAAATAATAAGAGCCTTGATTTTTGCATTATACTAGTGTGAGTGTTGCTGGTTTCCTAGAAAACAACAGTATGTTAGAATGACAATTACACAGCTAGGGCATCATAAATGGCAGGACCTTTACTCAATGGTGTTATCAGACCGAGTGCCGTCCGGTTTGTGTGATTTAGCAAAGGTGGTGGGGAGTCAAGATACAGGTCGAATATCTTTATCAGGATGTCGTCTCACGCCAGTGTTGCCATTTATACTACCTATGATGACCGGCTGTGTAATACTGGCGATAACGTATTGTATGACTTTTGGAGCATCATCTTAAGTTCACTAGAATAAATTTAATACATCGAAAATTTGATAAGAACATTTTCACGAAGAAAAGATACACCAGTCCGCAAAAGGTTTAAGGCTCCCTTTTTTACTCCATTTTTTTGTCTCTTACAAAAACCAGCTCGCATAGTTTTCAAGAAAAAAAAAAGAGTTGAATCAATAGAATTGCCGTTCTCTATCTGAACCTTGCACACCTTTGTTTTTAATGCTCCCCATAACAAAAAATCGCAAGAATAAAGGTCCGGGGAATGGCCATTGAATAGGAGCTTCTCGACCTCTACCAATCCATGTACCATCAAATTTATCGTTTAAGCAACTTGTTACACCAAAAAATGTAACTTCTTAGATTCAGAGGCAGCTCTTATAGTGATTCAGGTAAAATGTAAATGCCGGTGAAGGAAAGTACCAATTTTAAGTTCACCCTGTATACTAAGAAGCCTGTATTTTTTCCTTTGCAGTAGCAGTAGTACGTGATCCATCTCGTAGCGTACAGCCAGCAAATATCACTTTTCTGCTACGTTGCCGACTCTCGGTATCAAGTTCCTCGGCAAACGGCGACGGTATTGCTTTACAAAAACCGCAACGGCCGCTCAGAAATATGACAAGTGGATACCGTACACGCACCACCGAGTGGGATTTTTCTTCCTGTGCACACAGATAAGTTAACGCGGCCCAAGCGAAATTTATTTATGGCATCAGTTTAAATGTTGAACTCGCATTCAGGATGCTTGGAATTGTTGAAAATTGATAATATTTAATAACATATACAGTTGATTTGATTTGATTGACTGATACGCTGACAATTCGGCGACAAAAATAAATTTGATTGTTCTAATTGTAGTTGTAATCGAATCGCTTACAGCGCGACCTTGAATATTCTGTATTCCCGAGTCAGTCAAGGGGCATGTGTCCAGTTCGCTTTCTTTTGCTTACTTCAGGAAGCAGAGGATGGGAAGTGTCAAGATCTAAACATCGGAATCAGGAGACTCAGCGGCGGTGTTGCCAGTACCCCTGCAGCCGTGTCACGCCGAATTATTTGTTTTACAGCACGACATCAACACAGTGGTGCCAGGTGTATTTGATCTGCTTTAGGTAGATGAAATTTCTCGGTACACGGTAAACCAAAAAGCAAAAACTTTCCGGTAATGTAAAGTAGAGGAGTGGGGTCAAATGTCTCTATTCTAGAGCTTCGTTGAATTTAGTTTTTATATTATTATATATTTATTATTATTAAGTTCAGGAACTTGACAAATTTTTAGATAGCTCATTCGACTGAATAATGAATGGGTCGTGGTGACTAGAATTATTATTAGTGAGGTTATTAGTGTTTGACGTGTTTGGAAAATGCGAGGCTATTCATTTAATACCAACCTACACAGGTCAAAGATATCAGAATATAAATAACAGATGTACAGTCTGCGAAAACCAAAGGTTCGCCAAGTTTGGCCAGAAAAACAAGGTTGAAATCGCTTTAAAATAAACTAATTTCAAAATACTCTTCAAGGTCTTTTAGAGCAACGTTAACCGTAATTTAGATACTTGGCGACCTCAAAAATTATAATTTTTAACCTGCGCGTCAACCCGGATCAAATTTATTTAAATAATTTTTTTAATTAAATTATATTTTTTTAGGTTTTCTGGGTTATTCCCAACAACGGCTTTCATTAACTTTTCTCTCAAGTTTACCATTTTGGAGTTATAGGTGATTTAATGTCTGGAAAGCCCTAAAAATGGGTATATCTAAAACTCGGTTGAATCATGGTTTTTGAGATCGCCCAACTATCTAGGATTTTTGTTTATTGCAAACTGTACTACAGAGAAATGTGAAATTTGATAATCTATTAGACAAAGGTTGTATTCATACATATGTTGTGGATGTAAAATATATATTTGGCAATTAGATATACTCAGATGGATAAAGTTCAGTGCAAAAATACTTATCAGTTGCCTAGGTTTGTTGATAGATGGAAACGTCAAATTTATTCCTCATGTAAATAAAGTAACTAAACATTGTAAACGTATTATGATTTAGTATACATTTCAAGATTCAGTTTCAGCTAAACGTAAAAAAAATTCAAAATCTATGTTGTAGATTAATTTTCAATTTGAGAAAATGTGATTATATTATTTATTGGCTGGACTGGTAATGTGCTGCAAAATTGTACAAATTTATTTTATTATGCTATGCTTACAAACCCCTACTTACTTCGGTTCCTTCATTACTTAAAAACAAGTTGATATCTTGTGAATATATCCACTATGCCTTCATTCACAGTACTTCATTATTTCTTAAATGATTTACCTATAATCTGATAAATCTATATATTACCTACCATCGATTGCTAAACATTTGCTTTTAATAATTTCAAGAAGCAAATTAAATAAATTATCTCTGATGTCAAAATCTGAATTAACTTTCAGTATTCAAAGTTGAGTCATTTTAACAGCTTGTAGTTCTCGTCGAAAGAAGAAAAAATGACCTATATACAAAAATTGCATAAAACCGAGAATTTAAATTATTAAAAATTATAGAAAAAAAATATCAAGTTAAATGGATATCAATGGTCTTACAAAAACTGTTCAAAATTGTCCCCATTTGTTCGATTAACGAATTAAATCACAAGCATTTTCAGTGCGCTGTTAAAGTTCTTCCAGATTATTTTATGCTGCATCATGGTTCACTAACTCTTTCAAATAGCCCAACAGAGAAAAGTCGTCGAGGTTTTAAATCCGGGGAGCGAGCAGGCCAATAAATGGGTCCATTGCACCCTATCCATCTATTAGGAAGCTCATTATTTAGATGTTCATGAACTTCTCGTCTAAAATGTGGTTTTCTTAAAGGTAACTTTTCCGCATGCAACCTGCATGCTGCGGTTGCATTTTGTTGACATACTCCGTATGTTAGTAGTATGTCCACTAGTTCATTGTTTTCGTACAAAATAATCAATCGAATCGAAGTATACGCACTATTGAAATACTGATACAACTGATCGAACCAAAGACTCGTACTGAAAACCTTAAATTAACACAAAAAGTTTACCAAATTCAGATAAACGATAAGTAGTAATAAAAAACGCTAAGATTTTACACGGCAGTGGCCGAGGATATCAAAAAATCAGTGTAATAACATTCTTATTTTTAAAAATTTTCAATTTCTTACTATTCCTTTTATTATGCAGCTCTTATACAGGGTGTTCCTTTATGATATGCGTATATTTAAGGGTGTGAATCTACATGAAAAATTAATGTTACTTTGCTTTATAAACTATGGTCCAAAAATGTTTCCTTACAAAAACTCGGGGTGTTGAATTTTTAGGAAGAAATGAAAATAGATTGATATTTTCAGAACTGCTTCAGATATTTTACTGATATTCAGTACGTAGTGAAAGTTAATAAAGTTGCATATTTTTCAATTCAAAAATAATTTTTATTTTACAAAAAACCATTTTTTCTTAAAAAATATCAAAGTCAATACCCGTATGCACGCCACTGTTAACGCTAAAAATCATTTTTGCATTGAAAAATATGCAACTTTATTAACATAACTATGTACTAAATATCAGTGAACTGTCTGAAGCGGTTCTGAAAATATTAATTAATTTTCATTTTTTTCCTTAAACTTCAACACCCCGAGTTTTTGTAAGGAAACAATTTTGGACCATAGTTTATAAAGCAAACTAACATTAATTTTTCATGTAGATTCAGACCCTTAAATATTCGCATATGATTAACGAAGACCCTGTATAGGTAATTTTTGGAATATCACTCCTTTTCCTACAGGTAGTTAAGATAAACACCTAAACTTTCAAAACACCCTGTGTAGATCATCTATATTTCTGCATATTATATAAACCTTTTTTGTACACACATGTACGCTGTATCTAATTTGTAATTGTGCTTTAAATTTTGGAAGAATATTATTTTAAAATTGTTTCCTGTATTCTGGTGCCAGCTTCTTTTCAAGGATTAAGCAGTGGAATAGCTTGTGGCTAAACTACACCCTAAATAAAAGCAAAGAGCACTCGTCTTACGGTCTTATGACAGAATGCTATCTCCCGCATAGTGAAGGAACCCTTTGAATCGACGGCATTCGGGCGTTGGAGGGAACGTCCGTGGTGGAGTAGGCCACAAATATCTTGAAATGCATTTCCGTCTTAGGCGCGATGCACACTGAATGGACGTGAGGCGAGGACGTGGCACAGACTTATGTCAATTCAGCGTCTCTCCTATATAATTGAATTGTCCAATGCACACAGCGGCAACGTGGCGCTGGCGGTCGCCATCGCGCCCTTGCCACGTCTTCTTCCAGTCTCTTGTGGCGTACAAGAACAGACACGTCCGTTGCACGACACTTGTTGCTTACTTAAAACTTTTTAAAAATGCGAGACGATATTGAATTTAACATTCAATTTTGCGAGGAAATTGAAAAATATCCATGCTTGTACGACTACAGTCGTTCAGATTATTGTAATAGGAGTGCTCAGGACCAAGCCTGGCAGAAAATCGCAAAAAAATTTGGTGTTCAAGGTAAGTTTTAGTCTTTATTACTATTTATACACAATACCTATCCTGATATGGAATTGGGGTACATTCTGATAAATACATGGTTAGGTACTCTCTGATATTTTTTGCATTTGAGTGGGTCAGGGGTGGTAATTGCAAAATGGAATCACGGTGAATCACATTGTCGTATTGGGGCGTTGTGAATGTACCATTGCATTCTTTTATGGCGTTATGCAAAACACACATTGCTTGAACGAGTATATCAACTTTATCAGGCGTACATCGTATGGGTGTGTTTAGAACTGCAAATTTAGCAGCCAGCATTCCAAAAGAGCATTCCACAGACTTTCTTCCTCTGGACAATCTGGTATTAAAAATCCTTCTATTGTTAGTGGTTAATTCTCTACGGGAAAAAGGCTTCATTATGTTTTTCTTTAAGGGGAACGCTTCATCAGCTGTAAAATAAAACGGAATCTGCTTGACATCTCCAGGTATGGGACGAGGTTGAGGTAAATCAAGATTACTGGACTGTAATGCTCTGCCAAAGTGACTGTTCATTAATGCTCTTCCATCACTATTACGTCCGTACTCGCCCACATCTACTGTCACGAACATGCCATCTGCATCTGCTACTGCGAGTAAAACAGTGGAAAAAAAGCCTTTATAATTAATGTAGGCGGAACCTGATCGTGGTGGAGCTTGTATTCTGATGTGTTTACCGTCTATGCTGCCGATACAGTTAGGTAGATTCCACAATGAATGAAAACGGTCTGCAATTTGCATCCATTTCGCTGTTGTCGGTATAGGCATATATTTAGGTTGCAATTTTTCCCAAATGACTTTAGCAGTTTGATGCACTACCGCTCTGACTGTAGAATGTCCTTTTACGAAGTAATAGGACAGCGCTTTGAATGAACATCCACATGCAAAGTATCTGAAACAAAAAAATGTATGATAATGAACTGTGAAACCTATTTTAAAAGTTTTTGTTTGTTATGAATCGTAATTATTTATGTCATGTCTCCATTGTCATTAATTTGTTTTCCTTGTTTCAGCGATAGAGTGCAAGGAGCGTTGGAAAAATGTGAGAGGACGCTATACAAAATACAAAAATCAGTCAAAACTGCCCTCTGGATCAGGTGCTAAACATATTAAAGAATACTACTTAGCTAGCCACCTTCGTTTTTTGGACTCTTTCGTGAGGTCACGTCCAAGCAAAAGCAACATTAAGTCTACACAGGAGGAAGCATGAGAGAGTGAAGAAGAAAATCAAGATGAGGATATGGATGAAAAGTTGGATGAAACCGAATCTTCTGGGAAAGATACACCAAGTACAAAAATGCCTCCTCCACTCCTGGAACGGAACAGGAATAGTAGTGCCAGAAAGAAATTAAAATCATCAACTATAGATGATGTAAACCATTCTGCCTACAAGTATTTTGAGGCAAAACAACAAATGATAGAACGGAGACAGCAGAGTACCGCTACAAGTCAGCCTGACCCCGATATGGCATTTTTGCAGAGTATTTTACCGGACATGAAGGCAATGGATGACAGACAAAAACTGTACTTCAAACGGGAAATATTGAACCTAACCGAACAAATACGATATGCGCAGCCTGATCATAAAGCGGGATCCTCAATAAATGCTCAATCTAAAAGCTCTTCAGTGAATACTTTATCAAGGGATTCCTCAATACAAACCATTGAATGCACATCACCGAAGTCAATCGAAGACGACGCCAATGGGGGAGAGCGATTCTTCAACATGCAGCAACAAATTGAACAGGAAGAGGATTACACTATGGAGAGGTACCTGAGTTTTCTCCCAAAATATGGTTCACATCCACAGAAATGAAGACAAAAATATGTTTTCTGTTTTTGAAATTTGTGAATAAATTTATTACTAAATTAATTCATTCAGTTACTTACCTTAAAGTAATCAGTAGTCTCTCTTCTGGGCAAATTGGTTCCCTAAAATTGGTTGATCTCTTTTCAAGGCCTTCTTTTACAAGTGCCAATACATTATAAAAACACTCACGGGACATCCTATAAAAATTCTGGAATCGTTCTGGGTATGTGTTCAGTTCACGCATAACGTCGAATGTTCCACACGTTTTCCCCTTCTTTAGCCACAATGGATGCACCCAAAATCGTCTGGTTTTCTGCATATTACCCAAGTAAACCAGATCCAACATATCTTCATCATCTTCATCACTGCTTGAGAAATCCATTCGTTTGTGGCCCTTAAACTTCACCTCGATGTTCCAGCGAATGTTCGAAATCTTTCGTTTTCGTGACTATCCCGCTCCTTCTGTGTGCATTGGCACACGTCACGTCTCCGCAACGTCTGTGCCATGTCCTTGCCACGTCCTCGCCACCGTCCCCCCAGTGTGAATTGGGGCTTAGCCTTCGAGTCTGTTAGAATCGTTCCATCCTGACACGTAACTGGTGCAAGACTAACAACTCTGTGAGGAGTTCCTTTTAATTTGATTAGCCACATTACCCTGCGTCTGACTATCATCATGTGTTCCATGGAGAATCACATGCTGGGAACCTTACTATAAAACGTATTCATGAGAGATTTTACTCTTTCTTAGAAATAGCAGAAGTGTCATTTATCACAACGTTATTCTTATGCGACATTACTATCTGAATGATAATGGTACTCGCTCATTATGAATTCATGATAAGTATTTGGAGTTGGAGTCATCTGACGATGTTCGATGTTGGTTCCTTGCAATAATACATCAGCCGATCAGTGTCGAGATGCGTGTGGTTTGTTTACCACGTTGCCACCTGTTGCTCCTCTTACTCACCAAAACAACGTGTGAGATGTTGCCGGTGATTCTCCTTAGGCTATGTCTACATTACAATAGAATAACTGTACTACCACCGCTATCGTTAATACTTGATTCTTTTTTATTCTTATCTCAGACTAAAACTCGAAGATAATACGTTACCGGAAAATTTTTCTAAAGGTGCAATTTTCTTTACATGGATGCCAAAGTTAACCATAAGTATTTTATTCTAAAGCCCGCTTTTTACAATTGTTAAGATGTTTTAGGAGCTTGAAATTGCAGCTAACGATTGTGTTTCCACCAGGAGCAGAGAGGAAGGTCACTGTCCGTTTTATTCTTCCTTTCTCGTCGGGATAGAAGATGCTGAAATTAACACCCTTCATGGGGAATACTTGCGTTGACATTGTGGAATAAATAGAGAAGCTATAAATGGCAAGAAGCATCTCTGGAACGCCATAGGATGCAAGTTGTATTAGGAAAGTAGTATTCGTAGACCTCAAATTCACATTCAAAATTCAAATTATTTATTATCCTTTAGGCATATGTACATCTACAGGAATCGTACATGACTAATAATTAATAAATAAAAATATATAAAACAAACCACATAACAATTATAAATAAACAAATTCTAAGACGGCATAATAACATTTATATACAAGGAATTATTTCAAATTAGTTATAAACTGGATAATATTAGAACAATCCTTACTATCGTTTGGTAGCTTGTTAAATATTCTAGGTCCTAGGATACCGGGCAATTTTAGTCTTATTCTAACAATGTGTTTGGCAAAAGCCACATAGTTCGTATAAAAAATGAGGCGAGCGTTATAATTTTTAGTCCTCTAAAAATGCCCTTACCCGAAAATAAGATATTGACACCCACAATAAAGCTAGTTGGTGTATTTTTGGCTCAAAAATACATGCTGAGCGTTTGTTGACAAGCCCCACAAACACAAACTGTATCTTAATCTCAATTCGACTTAAGTATAATAAATAGCAACTAACTGACTCGCCGATAGAACTGTTTCTAGGTTTCTAACGACATAGCTTTGGGAATTCATTTGGGAGACTTGATTTTTCACACTGTTCTTTGAAGTTCAGGCTTGCATCAAGATATAATTCCAAAAACTTTACTTGTGTCTAAGCTGGTCTTTTTGAGCTATCTCCATTCATGTTAAATTTTTCGGTTGCTTTCTGAACGTTATGGAACCACACAAGTGATAATAATAATAATAATATATTTATTGACCAACAGATACATCCATTTAAAGGAAAATGTAATTGATTACAATTTGACGTTACAGTATTTTTAACTACAATCATAGCTCGCCCAGTTTCAGAAAAAAAATGAAAAAAAAATGAGTAGCTACACCTAGTCACCTACATGTCTTAAATGTTATAAATTGAATAATAGTAGTCGCTGAATACAGCAATATATCTTTGACTTTATCATGATGAATGTCACAATAATTATCAGCTATGGTGTTAAAGCTGGAGCACATAAAGTACACGGGTGACTTATTCATAGCATTAGAGTTTGGCGTTTTTAAGTAAAAAGTGATAAATCTTCGGGAAATGCGGGACGGTGCATCAATATCACTGTGTACGAGTTTGTAAAGGAATTTTAAACTTTTCTCAGCTCAAGAGGATGCATTTCAAATCTGAGCAACATCGCTGATTGGGGAGTCCCACGATTGGGATAAACACCATCTAATTTGAAAGTCAAGTATTTAAGAAATCTCCTCTGTACACTTTCAATTTCATTAGTATAGATTTGGTAATATGGATTCCATATACTAGATGCATATTCCAGCTTAGAACGCACCAAGGTGCAGTATAAAGCCTTCAGTGCCGTTTCACTACCAAACGATGTACAGTTTCTTATCAAAGAACCGAGACTTTTATAGCGGATGATACTATTGTACTAATATGACCTGTAAATTCTAATTTAACATCAAACAACACACCTAGATCTCTTACTTCTGAACAACGCATCAAACTGACACCTTCCAGTGTGTAATAAAAAACTATTGGATTCATTTTCCTGGTAAAAGAACAGGTTTTGCATTTGCTAACATTCAAAAATAATTTATTAGTTGAACACCATTCAACTATATGATTCAGGTCAGCTTGAAAGATTAGACAGTCATCAATGCTGTTAATCTGAGCATATATTTTTAAATCATCGGCAAACAACAGAGAAGGACATGTTAAGCAGTTAGGGAGGTCATTGATAAAATAAAGAAGGAGAAGAGGGCCTACATTTGATCCCTGCGGTACACCGGATGAGGCCGAGTAAGGCGAAGATTTGGAACCATTGTAAGAAACGTACTGATTTCTATCCTGCAAGTAAGAAGAAATGAAATCTAATAAATAATTGCTAGAACCAAAATGATTCTTTGGTGACTAATCTTATCGAAGACCTTTGAGAAATCCATATAGACCACATCCATCTGACCCGTATTATCTAAGACCTCTGCAATTTCCTGGGTGATTTCAGTTAAATTAGAAATAGTAGAGCCGATTGCGCATAAGTCCATGTTGCGTCTCAGATATCAGATGCGAGGTCAAAGGATAGATGTAGTTGTATACAGATATCTCAAATGCCTAACCAAAATTATCCAATATAGATATAGCTCGGTAATTTTAGATTTTACTATGGTCCCCAGCTTGAAAAATAGGGCACACTCTAGCCAGTTTCCATTTTGTAGGAAAAGTTGCTGTACTGAGGGAATGATTAAAAATTTTCTTTAAACACGTGATAAACGAACTACAAAGCTCGGTACCATATCTTCTCCTGCTGTTAACTTATTTGGTAATTTACACAGTAGCTTTAGAATATCTTCATCTGTGAAGTTACCCAGCTGAAAACAGTCATGCTGAGTATTAACAACGGGATGTTGGTATAAATCATTTTCAACGTTTTTTCTGAATTGAAATACAGTTGATTACTGTCAAACCACCTGAGAATATCTTCAAGTAATCTTAGCTGGAATCTGGAAGCTTTTGTAGTATCAAGGACGTGATTGTCATCAAATGGTTGAGTAGGCCTACTTCGCATGTAGCATGCTAGGAGATCCCCATTTGGTTGCTATCTGGATGCTCGAGATATTTTTGAAGCTTCTCTTATGATTAGTGGCTTCTGCTTACCTAAGCAGCATCTAACTTGTCTCTTCCTTGGTTGGCATTTCTGCTATGCCATATCACCGATATCCTCTACTGTACGGTCAATCCGACCCACAGCTTTGCTGATGACAGCACTCTACATGCAGGCATTCAGTGTCGCAAGCCAAACTCTGCTGATGAGCTTGAGAGACGAATAATAGTAAACACTGCCTCTCTGACGAGAGATATGCAGGCTGTCATTGCTTCAGTCTCAAATCTGGTACAATCCAATGTTGTGTTGTTTTTCCGCATACTAGCTAGCAAGTACCGCTCACACGTTTGGAATGTTGCCGTCCCGACTACATTGTCCATATTGGATAACACTTAACGAACAGTCTCGGGAACCTTCCACACCGACAGACGGACGACGATTTGGCTCTCTTCTACCGCTAGAACGGTCTTAGCTCCTCAGAACTATCCTCCACAATGCCTCCGCGTGTTGAACCTGCCAGAAAGACTAGCCAGGCTTTTGAATCCTAGTTTGACTCTGTCGAATATTGCACAGGCCTACACGGCTGTGTCACCCCAGGTCTAAGAATACCATTTCTTTTGCTCATTACTTAAGTTTCTCAATAATAGACCTAGGTTTCTTCTATATAAATAGATACACCGGTTATTGCTTCTGCAAATGAAGGTCTATGAATGTTCGGAATTATTTCCCCACAGGGATCCTCCAAATCCAAAACAAGGAATCGATATTCGTTAAAGACTTGTTTAGTGTGCACACTGAAAATCTGTTGCAATGTGAGCGGAGCTTTAGTTAATGTTTCTGTGTAGGATTTACGATAAACGGAGCCAGCGATAGCGTACGCTGAAGTGAATACATCGCCGCCGATTCTCAAGCTGGTCCGCTGTAAACACTTGTAGATTCTCCCAGCTGAGAAGGCAAGTTTTGATGGCCTGAGATCAGGTCCGGGTAGAGAGGCAGACTCGAAACTATATTCCGTACACATGGATGCTTGCATAGGGGGGCTGAGGGTGACTACTTACCCCCTTAGATTTTTGTATGATGAGCGATAGCGGGTCGAAACTTGCGAAATATGAGTACGAGAAGGGACAAAGTTACGCTGTTTAGCGCTCGATGCTAAAGATCAAGCTTTGCTCTTTTAACACCCGAGCTACATGAGTGTTAAATGGGAAAGTT